ATTTTTGGTCTGAGCTCTCTAGTCCTCAGCCAGGGCCTATCTCACTGGGAAAGAGTATTTTTGACTATAGGTTGACAAACTGTGGCTATTATTCTAATCTAAGTTTACCATCAGCATGCAATATGTATACTATGATGGATGGATGGATGGATGGATGGATGGATGGATGGATACTATAGGGATCATTGAAGAGAACCAAAGTGTAAAATTTTTAAGTTTTGCTGTAGATAATTTTACTTTAAAACTGGACAGATCAAGATGAAATGGTAACAAGGATGATAATGATGAAAATTTTTACACTTAATATTAATAGATAACATTTATTCAGGCTGTATTTTACGCCTGGTACTGTGCTAAGTGTTTTTTCATGTGTCATCTCATTTAATTCTTTCAAGAACTCTATAGTTCCTGTGTGTATGAAGAAATTGCAATGGAAAAAGATTCTGTGCTAAAGTTCATGCAGCTGGTAGTTGCCATAGCTGGAATTTAAAAACAGAGTTTCTCTTTTTACCTTGTACATGTGAAGATTCCAGGTAAACTTGAGACATCGTTGGTCACTTCGGCCTTCCCTGGCCTTTGATCCTAGTTCTTCTCTACCCTCCCCACACACAGGCCTGCACATTCATTCTGGGGCTGAACCCCATCCACAGCTGCATGTGGGTGAAACAAACTTTTAAGTACTTTTCCTTCATTCTCAGAATTGTTCAAGCATGAGATAAACCAGTCATTCTCAAATATTCTTTTCAACCAGAACACAGCATGGTGGGTTTGATGTTTGAAATTGATATGAACTGCTATATGATTTGTTTTAAATAATTGGGACTAATGTTTGTTCAGACATGGCCACTGGGGTGGTATACACATAAATCAAAGGCATTGTATTGATAAATAAGATCAAGAAAATCAAATAGCTGTCATTGACCCCGTGCTTCTCCACCACCATCCCTCAGCACACCCAAGGGCTAGATCAGTGGCTTGCAGACCTGTTTGGTTACATATACCTCCTAGTTAAAAGGGTTCTAGCTATACTACTATGTGTATATTTATTGACCTACAAATAACATAAGAATAGGAACTGTTATTATTGAATGCTTGTTACATGCATTATCTACTCTAAGAACTTTAAAGTGTTGACTCATATGGTGTTACTTCACAGCAGTTCTGGGAGGTAGATATTGTTACTACCACTTTCCAGAAAAGGAAATTGAAGTATGAAAAATTGAAGGACTGGCCCAAGGTGACTCAACTAGCATGTGACAATGGAACTGAGCAGGTGGTTTAACTCCAAAGTCATGCTGTATTCTACTGTATCATAGCTGCTTCAACATGTGCCATGCTACCAATTCATATGAATTATGGAATATATGAAAAATAGAAAGTTTTAAAGAATGAGGTGCATATTGGTGATGTGAAAGTTCTCACACTTTTGGCCTCTGTTCCCGGTGTGTTGTGTAGAACCACCCCTGTGATGCATGTGTCCCCCTTTGTAGATCATGTTGATGGATTAATACAGAGGAAATTGAAACCACTGCCCTCAGTAGCCTTAATGTCCTTTTTTGTGTTAGATTCTGTGGAGATAGTGAAGTCCATAACTGTGGAGGCTCTCCTCCAGTTTGTCTGTCCACCAGTTGTTGGGACCACTTTCCTCCCTATCTCGTTTGAGATCCAGCCAGGCTAGACAGGACCTCCAGGGATCTCCTCATGTTCCTTTGTCCTCCATCCTAAAGGTGCCAGTCCCCTTATGTCAGGAAGCTACTAGGTAATACACTATGTCACATAAAAATGAATGTCAATATCTGCATGTCTCCTTCCCTTTCCTCTAAGTGTCATTTTATTGTGAGAGGTTCTCTAATCACTCTGCTTAAAATTCTCTCTCTCTCTCTCTCTCTCTCTCACACACACACACACACACACACACACTTCTCCTTCCTAGCTTTACTTTTCTCCCTCGTGCTTTTGCCAAGATGTTATTGTTTTTCTGCTGGTTCCCTCTTCTCCAACTCAAGAGGCAAACTTCTTGCAGGCAGAAGTTTCTATCTTATCTGTCCACCGATGTATTACCCAACTCCACAGCAGTGCCTGGCTCCTCGTAGACAGCTGAGAAGTATGGTTTAATAAATAAACGATTTATCTGGGATTAGTCAGTTATGTAAGGATTTCAAACCAGTAAAACAATATTACCCAAGAAACATATCACAAGGTATTTTATACTTTTAAAATCTATTGCATAATTTCCAACAAATATACAGGAGAAAACTGAACACGGCTCAATTTCCAACATGAATAAACCCCTATTTGCTCAGTGAACCATTTATTTTCCAGATAATCTAGTTTATCGATGGTTACATAGTCCTTAAATCTCAAACAAGGAAACACCAGATCTCAGCACAGCATGGTTGATTTAGTGTTTTAAACTTATTCAAATTGCTGTTTGAAGTAATAACATTGGCTGTTTGTCCAAAGGTAGTCCCTGACATTGTCAGTACCTGGTCAAAGATTATTGTGTAGGAACATTTTAAGGGCTGCATAAGGTTGAAAAGTGGCCGTTGCTAAGAGCTTGTGTAGAAGATTTCTTTGCTTGGCACCATTATAAGATTCAACCAATGTTCTGCCTCAAAATGTGGAGGAGCCAATGGAGATTAAACTACCACTTGATCACTGAATGTAATTGAAATTCAGAATACTCTGAATATTGATGAAATATACCAGAGAAATCAGTTTTATTTTCAATGTGTTTATTTCAGACTTGTCACAACTGGAGCTGCTTCTGGGCAGAATTGGAAAAGCCCATTTAAAAAAAATTATGCAGGAAATACACATTCTTCGAATCTGAATATTTTATTTTCTGAAGTGTGCCTCTGCAAATATGGATCTCTTTTTACATCAGGAGTCCATAGGAGCTAGGTTTGTCTCTAAGAGAGATTAGCAGGAGACAATATAATTTACAGGCTGAACCAACAGAAGGGTGCTGAGTTGGGCTTTGCTAAACTAATATCATGGCTGGCAAGGATGACATGTCAGATGTTTCATTCATTTTAAAGACCAAACCATTTCAATAAATCATTTTTACAATTTTATGTTACATAGGTATACTATCAGGAGAGGGCGTGTTTAAATGTGCCAGACACATCCATTTGTTTCACTACATCGTGTGCTTCATTTCATCCTTATTTCATTTCCCAAAGATCTATTTATCAGATTTTTTTATGAGCACATCCATATTTTAGTTTTATTCATGCAATCTTGTCTGCTGGTGCTATTATGTGTACTGGACTCTACCTTGCACATACTGACACCACCTCCGTGAATGTCTTCACCGTAATTCTTCCTTTTGCAAAAAGTAAGAGTATTTCTCCTTTTTTGAATATCTCTGCCAATGCAGTCCGGTGAGAGAACATACAGATGCATTGGAGCTATTTAGCATAAAAACTCATCTGAGACAGCTGTAATAGAACACAGGATGGTGTATTGTGTTGTAAAGTACTTAAGGTTGAATTTCTTTACTGTGCAGATTCTATACTGTTTTCTTTTCTTCCCTAACTCCTCCCTGTTTAACAGCAGACAAACCCAGGGAGCACTGAATGACTCCGATGATCCTGAAACAGGCTGTCTAAGTGACAACAAGCCAACTTCTCGACACTTCTACCCTGTCGCCTTGCTGCTAGTCAGCTCACACCTGCTAGTTGTGTGGCTCATTTTAAGTCTTGCATTACTCTTAGCCAAATACCAATAAGTTCTATGTTGTATTCCATTTTTGTTTTTCTACAAATGACAATGGACTTTAAATTATGGGGACAATGCTGTAATATTTCTACATTTTCAGATTCATAGAATTTAAAAAAAAAATGTTTGAATTGTGTTCCTGTTCATTTTTCCTAAAATCTAAAAAAAAGAAAACCAGAAAGTACTATGCATTAGTGAATTATTTTGCTCTTTTGTTCATTAAAAAAAAAGTGTTTTCCCACTGTTAACTATCTCAAGAAGAATTTTTAAATTACTGTCTTTGGAATAAGACAAAGAACAGAATCCTGAAAGCTTGAAGTTCTGAACCTCCTCTTCCTCTTCCCATTCAGTTTATTTATGAATTGAAGATTGAATTTGCACAACACACTGAAACCCGGAAATAAATCCCAGGGATGTGGGAGGTTACAGACTTGATTTCCACTGTGCTAATAACATAGTTGCCATCAGCTGATAGAACTTCTGTTTGGTTTTTTTAACCTGTCTTCTTTATTTATTTATTTTTTGCTGCACTTAACCTTTTCTGTCAAGTAACTTAATGGAGAGAATGGCTATTTATGTTTTGTAATTAAATCAATCTGTTTGTTACTACTGTTTGGGTTGCTTTGGCTTCTGGAGTACTTTTCTATTATTTTCAACAAGGTCTCTCTCGTGTGTCTTGATGCGTCATTTTTCTGCACCTGTGACTTTTGTACTGTCCGTGGACAACCACTCTTCCCTTACAAAGCTGAGACTTGGACCAGGCTGTTCAGAAAGCCATTTTCTCTCTTCGTTGCACAGTTAAAATAATGAAGTAAAATAGAGATGAAACTTTCCTTTAAAAATCTATAGGGCCAGACTTAATAAATTAAATGCCTTATTCCTAGAACCTGCATCCTTAGGGCTACATATAGATTTTAATGTGTTTTGAAGAGACTGAGAAATTAATTTGTGGAAAAGTTATAAAAAGACAGATATATTTATGAAATGAAAGTGAAGCTGTATTGTGGAGCGAATTATATTTAAAGAGTTTATTAAACCTTAAATGTCTGTTAAGAACAAAGAGACTTTAATCATCTCTTTCCGAAGGCAATAATGGTATTGGGCCTGGCCTAGGATTTAATTTTGTAAGATGTATCATCACTTGTGAGAAAAAAAAAATGTAGAGTTGAATCTTTGTTATTTTTACTTGGACTGTTGCTGCAACTCTGCATTGAACAAATAAAGCATATTTATTTATTCTGTGTTTCATGAAGTTGTACTTTTTCCCCTTTCACCAGAGAAGGATGCCGCATAGAGAATGTTCTGAAGAACATCAAATGCAGGAAGTATGCTTTCAACATGCTGCAGCTGATGGCTTTCCCCAAGCACTACAGACCTCCAGAGGGCACTTACGGAAAAGCTGACACCTAAGGGTGCCAACATGTAAATAAACAGCAACACAAACACGCTCAGTTGGATGATCTCCACCTTGATCTTTTATTATTATTATTATTATTGTTATGAATTTGTGGGGGGAAGTGATCGTGGATATTTGCCCAAATCTAGGAATTACTTGAATACCTATCAGCATATGACTCTGAAAGAAATCCATTCTAAAATTCCTAGATAACACTGCCATTTCTAGTTGCTGACCCTCACAAAGTGGTGGATATTAATTCAAAAAGTGTAAATTTCATTCATGGATTATTTAAATGCAGAGTGTCTTAGAAAAAAGCGCTTGCTTGGATACAACCAGAGATGATTCAGAGTGATGTTCTCTACCCAGAATGAAGAGAGGAGAAGGTAAAGGGGGAGAGAGTTCAAGTATGCCACTTCATAGCCCTGATTGCAGACAACCTTAGAGTCCCCTTAGGGAGTTATTAAAGATCTTTCTAGCAAATTGAAATCAGATAAAGTTAACTCATGACCCTGACTACTAAAATGGTGTGCAGATGTGTTTGTAAAGACCTTTGTCATCCAGTCAAGATGTGACTCCTGTTCTAACCAGGTGGATGAGCAGTGTTAGCACAGCAGAACACACACCTTTCCAAAATGTGGCATCTTTTCAAAACTCCTGCTTGTGTTGGGTGACCCAGCCATAGCAGTGGGGATACAGAAAACTTAACAACAGGCAAAATCTTGCAAGGGACTGAAAGAGCCTGTTGATACCCAACCTGAAAATCCCCATCAGTTGAACTTTATGTAGTAAAGTTCATGAACTTCACAAGAAATATCTTTGAGATGCTTTCTAGCAGCCACCTTGGTGGGAGTGTGCATTCTGGCATAGGTTAACGTGGGCGGATAAACCTTCAAGGCATGTGTAACTATAACTAATGAGAAACTAACAATAGTTTTCTGTTTATCTGATTTCAAATTTTTTAATTTGAAATTTTTGTTTTCTGAATTCCAAATTAGAACTTTCCTTAGAGATCAATTATCTTCTATAATACCAATATTTGAAAAATTGGTAAATTAAGAATAACCATTAACTAGAGAATTACAGAATCATAATTATAGTCTCTTCTTACCAATAGTATTATTCTTAACTTCCTAGCCTATGGCTTGTTCCTTCTCCAAATTTCTATGCTAAATATACAACAAAATTGAGAGAGAATGCTATGCTAGTTAATTCACATAGAAATTAGGATCTATCATTGCAATGGTACAAAAACTTGAACAAATGAAGTTTATTTTCTCCAAATTTTAAGAATTACTTTTTTCCTTTCTTGACAGTGGAGCATGCCACCCAGAGCAGGGATCTTCTTTGGAATCTCTGGGGTCTTATAACATAGACACTTCTCAGCTCTGACCACATTCAGCTGGTGATAATGTGGAGCCTTCCATGGCTAATGTGATAACTCCTTGCCAGAGTAATGTGATAACTCCTTGCCAAGTTGAAACTAAGATTTCAAACAAATCTCCAGTCCCACATTGCATTTCTCAAATTGCTATAAGGATAAGATAACTTTTGAGGCTTCTAACACTCAAATCGTCAATTTATTATTTTAGCTGGTGACCAAAGGGTGTTACTGAAGCAGTTGCCACAGGGTTTACAGGCATTTTAATGAAGATGTGCTGCATACTCTGGATACTCTGCCTACTGCATACTATTTATGGATAACATTATCCTGGGACTCTGTCCTACCTCATTCTCTATTTCAGTGATTATTAAATGTGATCTTTGAATTGTTTGAATGGATTTAAAAATGATAGGATTCATGGTTCTTTTTTTCCCCCCATCCCTTTGGATTTAAGATAAAGATGTTCAGATGACAGAGTTCTCCTTGGATAGCTCTGAAGCTTCATTTAGTACATCAAAATGGTAGTCAGAGTCCTAAGAGACCTTACATATGTATCAGCCCATTGATGTTTATAGGCAATAATTATTTATATTTTTTAAAATAAAACCTCTTGACTCAAATTTTTTTTTAAATTTATTAACTAGAAAGCCAGCCATAAAGTTTTATATATTTAGAAGTCATTTAATAGATTTTTAAATTAAATTCCAACATACACATTGCAAAGGATAGAGTTTGATGTAATGTTAATGCATATAAATTTTCATTTGTCATTAGCATAATCATCAGCATATCCTGATTTAAAAAAACATATTTATATGTACATCTAAAAGTGGATTTCACCAAAAAAATTCTTGTTTCAGAAACATTCCTGCTCCTTTCCAGGTAGTGCAAATATCCTTGGGAAACTACTTAACTATGAAAGCTTTCTGAATTGAATGTTAAACAAAACATGTTTTTCAGTCTCCCTTGAACACATACAGTAACATCATGATTTTCTATCTATATTTTCATTTAAAAGTTATACAACATGTCTATTTGAGGGGATCATATTGTCTCAAAAATGAGCCCCCAAATCACATTTACAAACAACAGTTATTTTGCTAAAAAATGTGTTCCCCTTCAACTGTTATTAAAAATAGGTGTCAATACTGGATTGTCCATTTATAGAGCCCTAGAGAAAAAAAAGGCACAATCTTAATTATTGTTGTCCCAGTGACAAAAATTCAGAATCTGGAAATGTTCCCCAAAACAATTAAACACAAATTTTTGAAATATTTGATTGAAGCAGACTCTCACTTTGGTATACCCATTCATGTCACTTCTCATATGGCTAATTTTTTTCTCATGAATATTTCCTTGAGTTTTATCTATACACTCCATTTGTTGCATGGAGCTTAGTAAGTCCCATAATCCAATGGATCACAGCAAGCACCTGATCCAGGTGATGAATTATACTAAAATGACCACCTCTCTGTTAGGGCAGTATTCCATGTCATTAGCCTCCAATCATTTATTAAACCACAACACATCTCTAACACCTCTTCTGAAAAAATGTGAATCCCTAAAATTACCATTTGATGGGGGATACTTCTCCCATTTTTTCTCTCTTTAATGCAATATTTTGCATAAAATAAGGCTCATGGTAGAAAAGGAAAAGAAAATGTGCTTTTTTTTTTGTTTGTTTGTTTTGTCCCAAGGAAATCAAATTTCTCCCTATTAAAGGGTCAAATTATGCCAGGAGATAAGATCCCATTGTTGTGCTTTGCTGGAGCTGGCTTTTGTTGGCTCATGAGAGTCAATTATTAAATTTTCAGAAATTATGTAAGCTGATTGCTAAACACAATCATAATTAAATATTAAATTATGAGATACAATTGGATCCATTTTACCAAAAAGTGAAGGTGATTATTGAAGCCTGCCACTTGCTAATTATTTTACTAAATTTTGCTACTTACCTATATGCTTGAGCTTAGTTAGGTCTATTGTATCTTTATCTTTGAAGTGCTATATAGTATTATGCTACTGTGAATCTCCACCTGACTCCAAATTCAGGAGCACCATATTGGTATTGGTATCTGAAAATCTGCCACCGTGGGAATATTTACACCACAAGAACTGGCAAATGCTACACACTAAGATGCTTAGTGCCTGAAATGTCACTTGTCAAATGTGTACCAGCACTCAGCTGAAAGCCACCACCATTTTTTACCCAGAGAGGAACATATTTTGGGGAGCAGGATAAAATTATTAAAATAATATTAATTATTAAAATTATTAACTTAGTCATTTCAGATGGCTTCAATTTTGTTTTGGTGTGTAACCTCTTTAAAGATTCCTATTAGGCTATAATTAATATTTAATAGTTATATTTTATTTATAATTAAAATTATTATTATAGAGTTGAATTTATAAACCCATCTCTCAATAATGTGCTGCAAGAGGAATCTTAGCAATGCAACTTCAGTGTAAGCAGTAACTCAGGACTCATTTCAGGAAAATGTTAGCCTAATCAGAGTATCATTGAAAATGTGCTTCAGTATCAATTTTTAAACTTATAATTTTGGCATTTGCTAAAAGTAGGAAAAAACAGTAACATATTACTTTGCCCAGATTCTAATAAATATAGCTCAATTGAAACCCAAACTGTTAGATTAAACAAATTAAACTCTGGCAGAATGCTAAAGCACCACAGATGTTTTAAGTGTTGATTTCCAAGCAGAATGGAATATCATTTTAGTTCAATATACAGGGCATGTTTTCTAATATTTTAGGAAATAAATTAACTTTTATCACAGATTTAAGAAACTGGTCTGAGAAGAATTGTGAGCAGTTATCAAGGGAAGCAAACATATTGAACACAAAGCATCTCTAATAGCTGGAAGCTTTACAAATTATGCACTAAGAATAATTTGCTAGGAATTTGTGTAGTTGATTGATGATTTTCGCATAAATTCACATTCATTTCACCCAGCTGCAATCTGTGTAAGCTATGTATTTTCCCCCCATATTTAAATTTCTTAGCTTTGTAAACTCCAAATATATGACATCTTTTATTTCTTTGGCAGTTTGAAGTTAGAACTTTGCATCCATAGTGATGCTACCCATAGCAAAAACTGCCTTTAAAAATAAGAAAATAAAATCAATGTTTTAGATAAAATATGGCAGTCCAAGCATGGAGTTAAGGAATACAAAATTGTATTTTTTTTCTTTCTGATACATGGTGCACATTTATCACTCTTTGAATTTTATTTCTAAGTAAATAAAGCAGACTCTAAAACATTTCTTGTTTAGAAGAAACAAACCATAACTAGCAATTTGTAACAAAGGTAGAGGGAAAAAAAAATGTAGGGTAATGTTAACCCCCAAAAGGTACGTGCAATCAGGTTTCCTGAGCTTGAATTCTTATTCAAGCATGTATACTAAGAATTTTGAATTGAAAAAAGAAAAACAAGATCAAAATTAAACCTAGTACCAGAGAGAGTGAATATTAAAGAAAAAAGACCGAATACAAATGGCATTGCCTGATAAACCATACGTAGGTAGGGCAAATGCTTATAAAATACATCTTTTAGTAAATACAGTTCAGGATGAAGGTGTTGCTCTTTTACACTCATTTTACAATAACATTCACAATATTCCTAAAATCATCAAAATTTTTCCCCCTTCATAACAGGGCATGATCCAACAGCCTATCTTTAATGATGACTTAGCATGGTATTGATCACTAGCAGGCATTAGTGGTAAAATTTTCCCAAGATTGCTATGCTCTCTATATAACTCTTACTATGTTTTTATATTGTCATTAAGTAAAATGTCATGTTAAAGAGCTCTCACTCTTAAAAAAGGCAAAGTGCCTATGTCTATACTATATAGACTCACTTCAACGCACACATAATAGCCTCTTGTACAAGTAACTTTTTATGTGAATATTTTATTATTTTATGTAACCCAACACTGAATTTTCAGATTCTTGTGGTACTCATCAGGAAGGTTGGCATTTGTTTTCTTTTTGTGCTAAATATCTATACTTTTAGGTGAACCAATAATCTGTATTATAGGAAATGAGCCACACCTAGATTAGAACATTTTATGTTGGCATTTGTAGAAATATCATTTTTGTTTTATTGTTGTGTGTAAACCATATTCATTGTACACTGTGTGTATATTTTTGTTTAAATAAATATGATTTTATTTTTTATGTTTCTGTCTTTCCTCCCTATTTTTTTTTTCATTTTCATCAGTGTAGCAATGTGTAAACATTAACTAAAATATTAGAATACGGTCACAGTTACAGTGGAAATTTTTTGATGACTCTAGATTAATCTCATTTTTCACTAGCAGAATATATTTTTTCAGGATTGCTCATCTGTAGAGCAAATCACCTACACCTTTAAAAAAGATTCAAGCACCAGGTGTCAGTGCTTCAACAGTGCATGCAAATCACTATCTTTTTTTGTCAAGATTATATGTAGTCATTTGAACACACAAAGATAATTTTTCCTTATAGACTGGATGTGATTATTTATGATCTTTTCTTTTTTTATCGATTGATAGTAGAACAAAAATTCTGAAGAATTTAGTAGATCTCATTGCAAAGAAATTAACCAAATGAGGTCCCCATGGTTATGTAAAGAATGTACTTTTGCCATCCAGAGAATTTCAAGGACATACCTGATCTGGCTACAAAATACATTCTCTGTAATACCATCATCATCAGTATGTGTCTACTCTGATGTGTCTTCCTGTAGCTGAGCAAGAGGGATGCTGGATAATCCAAATGTGAAACATTGCAGTGAATTATAGTGAAATGCTGCCCATCATGGAGTCCGGGGAGGGCTGAACGAACTGGTGGAACTCTTAAATATCCTGCAAAGGCTCTGTAAGCCTTGTAAGGGAGTGACAATCTCACCCCAAATCAGAATACAACAGGGGACTCCAAACATTTGTTCCAGGGCTATATTATGGTTTCATCAAAGACTGGATTCATGAGGGTAGGGGGATGTCATTGGAACTTCTTCAAGCCGCCACCTATTCCAAGCCCAAGTAGCCGAATGGTCATACATAATTCCAGGGCTCTGTCCATTCCATCCATATAAACCAATTTCTGAGTTATCTGATCTTTCCATGATTTTGATGAATACGGTTGATTCAGGAACAAGTCTTTTAGTAAACTTTAAGTCAAGGGTTGAGGGAACCACATTTGGGTTGGACAAGAAACTTTCAGCAGCACTAACCTGCTGCAAGCTATACTGAATCTTCTAATAAATATGACTTCAGTTTTCACCTTACCCCTCAGTTACAGATTTATATAAAAACAGTGACAATAGTGGCATGCCTTTTGATGGATATGATGACTTCTCCATTCTTTTTTATTCTTAATATATTCATTTATGTATTTATTTGTATATGGTGCTGATGATTGAACCCAGTGCCTCACATACGCAAGGCAGGTGCTGTACACTCACTGGGTTACAGCCCTAGCCCATTCTAAAGCCCATAGGATGTCCCAATTCTTTAGACAACTCATCATAAACCACTGCCTCTTCTGTGATACTTCACCATTCTGACTGCAAATGTGATGTGTGCTTCCAACACCCCTTCCTTTCTAAGCAGTTTGTAATCTCAGGTACTGCTTTTGCTTCCTCTATTTATTCCTTGCGTTTAGGAATTGCCCAAAAGTCTGGATTCTGAATTTGTCTTTGTTCAGTTAGCATGAAGTCTACACCTATTATTTCTAAGGGGAAAACGCCAGTACAGGGCTAGGACATGCCGGTTTCTGAATCAGTATGCCTGGATATAAGTCTTGATTCTCTACTTATTAGATGTGGACATATGTCACGTTACTTAATGATTCTATGTGTTCACATTCTAGTCTATAACATGAAATCAATAATATGATTCCTGGTGAAAAATGAGAAAACACATATATAGCTCTTTGCCCAATGCCCATTGTGCAGAAAATTTTATGTCCCTGCAACCCCATTACCAGAAATATGAAGCCTAAAAGAATGAAATCTACATTTCCCTGGTATAGTTACTATGACAGTCCAGGATATTACATGGGTTCTGCCAGTGAGACCTATGCCATATTTGGAAGACAGGGAAAAGCAGGAGGCAGTTTGTCTGCCTGCACCAGTGTGTGTACATAGGCATATTGCACCAGAGTATAAGCAGCAGTTTGACTTCTACACCCATTGCCAACTTACTACCTTGCTGTGGGTTGGGCTCCAATTTCAACAATGGTGGAAGCCACAGAATCAACATGTTTATGACCTCTGGGTGGCAGTAGTAGCTCCTGATAACAAGATCAGAGGTATACAAATGATAAAGTCCACTAATGATATAAGTAAGATTCCTTCCTCTGGATTTCACAATGACTTTACAATATCAGATTCCTTGTTTAAAAGGTACTAAATTTTCTGCTAGAAGAACTTGATTTGAGCCCTGATGATACCCTTTGCCTAGATTATATGTAGCCTAGAGCATGGACCCCATGTACATACATTTATTTTTGACAGATATTGCTAATTATTCTATTTACTTTTTTGAGCCTTTTTAATATTCTTTAATTATTGATATGCATTTGAATTGTTTTCAGTTTTCACATTCTTTCACAAGGTAAGCATAAATAGGTATTTCTAATTGGGTATATGTCTAATAATTTTTTATTTATTTTTATTTGTTTTTAGATATTCATAACAGTATGGTGTATTTTGACGTACCTACATGAAATTCAGCTCATTCCAATTTCTTGTGATTGTACATGATGTGGAATTACACTGGTCATTTATTCATATATGAGCATAGAAAAGATATGTCTGATTAATTCTACTGTCTTTCCTATTCCCACCCCCCTACCTTCCCTTCATTCCTCTTTGTCTAATCCAGTGAACTTCTATACTTCCTCTTCCTTCCCTTTCTTGTTATGGGTTAGCATTCACATATCAGAGAGAACATTCAGCCTTTCGTTTGTTGGGACTGGCTTACTTCACTTAGCATGATATCCTCCAGTTCCTTCCATTTACTGGCAAATGCCATAATGTCATTCTTCCTTATGGCTGAGTAATATTCCATTGCATACGTATCACATTTTCTTTATCCATTCATCTTTTGAAGGGCACCTAGGTTGGTTCCAACTTAGCTATTGTGAATTAAACTGTTATAAACGTTGATGTGGCTGCCTCACTGTAGTATGCTGATTTTAAGTCCTTTGGGTATACACCAAGGAGTGGGATAACTGGATCAAATGGTGTTTCCATTTCAAAATTTCTAAGGAATCTCCATACCCCTTTCCAGAGTGGTTGCACTAATTTGCAGACCCACCAGCAGTATATGGATAACCTTTTTTCCGCATATCTTTGCCAATATTTATTGTTACTTGTATTCTTGATAATTACCATTTTGACCAGAGTGAGACGGAATCTCAGTGTAGTTTTAATTTGTATTTCTCTAGAGATGTTGAACATTTTTTTCCTACATTTTTTGACCATTCTTTTTTTTGTCTTCTGTGAAGTGCCTGTTCATCAGTTCCTTTGCCCATTTATTGATTGGGTTATTTATTTTTTCTTTTCTTTTTCTTTTTTCTTTTCTTTTTTTTTTTTTTGGTGTTAAGTATTTTGAGTTCTTTGTATATCATAGAGATTAATCTGAGTTGCTGCTGGTAAAGATTTTCTCCCATTCTATAGGCTCTCTGTTAATAGTCTTGATGGTTTCCTTTGCTGTGAAGAAGCATTTAAGTTTGGCATTATCCCATTTATTGATTCTTGATTTTACTTCTTGCACTTTAGGAGTCTTATTGAGGAAGTTCATTCCTGAGCTGATGAGACAGAGAGTTGGGCCTACTTTTTCTTCTAGTAGGCTCAGGAGCTCTGGTCTAATGCCAAGGTCCTTGATCTACTTTGAGTTGGATTTTATGCAGGTTGAGATATAGAGGTTCACTTTCAATCTACTACATATGGATTTCCAGTTTTCCTAGCACCATTTGTGAAGAGGCTATCTTTTCTTCAGTATATGTTTATGGTGCCTTTGTCTAATATAAGATAGCTGTACTTATATGTTTAGGTCTCTGTATCTTCTCAAGACAGGGATGCCTTCTCTCATCACTCCTATTCAACATAGCCCTTGAAACTCTATGAGTCAGAACAGTTAGACAAAAGAAAGAAATTAAAGGGATATGAATAGAAAAAGAAGAGCTAAAATTATCCCTACTTGCCAGCATCATGATTCTACATTTAGAAGACCCAAAAAACTCCACCAAAAAGCTCTTTGAACTCATATACAAATTCAGCAAAGTAGCAGGATATAAAATTCACCTATAAATCAATTGTCTTCCTATATACCAATGAAGAGTTTGCTGAAAGAAAAAATCAGGAAAACTCTCCCATTCATAATAGCCTCAAAGAAAATAAAATACTTAGGAATCAATCTAACAAAAGAGTTTAAAGACTTCTACAATGAAAACTACAGAACACTAAAGAAAAAAAATCCAAGAAAACCCTAGAAAATGGAAATGTCTCCCATGTTCTTGAATAGGCAGAATTAATATTGTCAAAATGACCATACTACCAAAAGTGCTTTTCAGATTTAATACAATTCCCATTAAACCAATGACATTACTCATAGAAATAGAGCAGTTCTGAAATTCATTTGGAAAAACAAGATGTCCAGAAAAGCCAAAACAATCCTTAGAAAAGTAATGCAGAAGGCATCACAATGCCAGACCTTGAATTATACTACAGAGCTATGATAACAAAAACAGCATGATATTGGCACAAAAATAGAATTGAAGACAAATGGAACACAATAGAAGACACAGAGTCACACCTATTTATTTTTAGTTTTTCTAACTGGTCTTCAGCCACCTTTTCACGTATCCAGTGGCTATTGGTGTGTGTTCATATCTTAGTGACATATAGCTCCCCATGTCACACATGGCTCTCCTGAGTTTTCTGTTAATGGAATTTATCTCCTAGACACAAAGATCCCCAAGTTTGATTCAGCTGTGACTCTTGCATCTCTGTTGACATGTAATATTCCCTCTGTCACTAAAGTTTGTAAATATTACCACTACATCACCTCATAACTATTACCTCCTCCTTCCATTGCCAAAGCAATTTTCTTTATATGCATCCTTTGTTACCCCTATAATTGTAGTTCCATTGGAACTAAATCATTTAAGTTTAGTAAACAATGAATTCC